GGCTTTCCGCAACGTATCATTCTGAGGTCTTACATCATTTAGGGATCGCTATCGCAAGGAGTTTTTGCAACTCCCTTGTGACCCTTTCCGATTACGACCCAAAGGTTTTGGAGCAATTGGAATTCAACGTTCAAGAGAACTTGGGAAAGGTTTGGTTCTGTTTAATTCGATCATTGTAGACAGCGTTTTTGTGACGTAATATGCAACATTTTATCCGCCGTTATGCATAGGCTGGTGTCAGAGTCCGCGATCCGTCGCAGGTTTCGCTGATTTTCGCGATTTGCGCGATTCACGCGACGGATCGCAAAAATTGCAAGTGTGTGAACATTTGAAACACTGAATATGAAACAAGTGGAATCATGAGCAGTCGTCATTCAGCCATCACTATCAAGCAGAAGTGGCGGCAGGATTGGAGAACACCTTGCAGTATTGATCGGGCACTTGTGATTTCCGTGACCCGTCGCGTGAATCGCGCAAATCGCGAAAATCAGCGAAACCTGCGACGGATCGCGGACTCTGACACCAGCCCTATGCATAACGGCGGATAAAATGTTGCATATTACGTCACAAAAACGCTGTCTACAATGATCGAATTAAACAGAACCAAACCTTTCCCAAGTTCTCTTGAACGTTGAATTCCAATTGCTCCAAAACCTTTGGGTCGTAATCGGAAAGGGTCACAAGGGAGTTGCAAAAACTCCTTGCGATAGCGATCCCTAAATGATGTAAGACCTCAGAATGATACGTTGCGGAAAGCCTTGAACAAGAAAAAACCAACCCGTCAGACCACACCCCGCTCCAAGTTCTAACACTCTGACATTTGAGAGATCTACGAATCGGCACAAGAAATTAGCCAAATCACACGAGGCCTGAAAGAAAGTTGCAAATGAAGAAAGTTCAAATTCCTCTTAACCAACAATGATAAAGCACAGAATCGTGATACTACGGTGTTGCCCAAACCCTGAAGGCCTGAAGAGCTTCACGAGGTAAGGGAAAAAGAAGGGCAAAAGAACCGCAGAAAAAACACACCTGCCACAGTGAGAGACCAGTTGTACCGTGGCAGAGCTGCTGGGTGGACTCGCGAAGCACAACCAGTACTTCTGCTAGATCATGGGTCAAGAAAATGCGAAAGCAACACTGCATCGTATCCAACATGCAACTAGCGCAAGCGGTGTACAATTCGTCCAGTACTTCCAGGTTCATTCGTTCTAACTATAAAGACCTTTCTATTCTAATGTCAGTTGATTAATCTCGAAGAAACACACCTCATCAATCATCAGCTTCAGAAGATTTCGACGGTAACTCTTTCTTATAGGGTATTTCTCTAGTAACTCACTACATAATACGAACTTCACAAACTGACAATAAAACCGGTCATCAAGTGCAAATAATTTCATAACATCACTGAGAATATTCGCTGGCACCTTGCTTCCCGCAAAATAGCAGCGGGTGAACGTAACGGCCGACTAAATTGGATCAATCAATCGCGCACTTTCAATCTATATGTAAGCTCCAAATAATAAGAAAAAAAAACCAATCCGATAAACCAACTGGTGTAAAGTTTGATGCATTTATACCAGTGCTTCTATCAACTTCGCGGCTTTCGAGTGACTTTTGTAAACTGCTTGTTGGCGATGTTGACGTCTGTAAATGACCGAAGCCTTGTATGCCACAACCGCCTTCATTTCAGAAGCTAAGGTCGCGAGCATACTCAACGTTTTAGTAGGTAAAAGGATCAAGAGTTATGGAAAAGATGTAGGAATGGGAGAATAAGAGCGTATGAAATTAGATCAATAGGGTAGGTGACCCCGTTGAAAAGTTCGATACGCATTAATTGAACTAAACTGCTACTCTTCCAACTAATACATATCTTATTTTTTCGGCTGATCTCCTACTCGCCTAAAATGTTGAGTATGAAGCGACCAAAAGAATTCAGTCTGACTTACAGCCGACAATTCATTGCGATTAAGCAGAAAACAGCTTAAGGATGACCGAGAGAACAACTCAGAAACCTACTATAAGCTGTTTGAGGGAGGACGTAGGCAGGTCTGGCGTAGGGTATGCCATAGTGTTGTGCTTGAACAATACGCTTCTCTCCTTCCTGTATCAGACCCGCAATCTTCTCTGGATCAGTTACCTAAGAAAAAAATCCTGACCTGCACCGAATTAAAAATTCAAAAATATATTTACTTATACTAACGAGAAGTACACTTAAATAGTACAAAAGCATGCCAAACTTTGCGTCATGGGATTTAATCACATTGTCAATAGAGAGATTAGGTTCCCTGCCGTTGGGGACATCATGTAGCTTCGCGGAAAGCAGATTTGTCTGGAGCGAGGGGGAGTGTAACGGAGTGATCATTTTGTACTCCTACTGACTAGTATAGGGCGCCATTCGTTGCGGGACCCACTGCCTTAACCCGCGGGGATCCCATGATCGCGGTTGAATTCGAACATTCCAGCTTCTCACGCATGTCAAGTGTCTGCCCTCACCCCCCCCCCACCCCCCTAGACTGGGCGACGTAACTAAAACGCCAAAAAAACCTGGCTCACGATTCCCCCGCCTCCAACCATGAAGGGTTCTACTGGCTTAGCAGGAGCATGGGGACCCGTAAGGCCACTTCAGAATGTCCGCTTGCGCGAAAAAACGCATAGGCGAAACAATGTGAAATATGTATCGACTGAACGAAGACGCACAGGCGAATCGTGAAGTGGGAGGATCGACGAAAATGAGTATCATACGCATCGACTTACGAACGCTTCGCTCACGCGATTTTCCGCCTGTGCGTTTCTCACAGTCGATACATATCAAACTCTTGACTGAAATTCGCCTGCTCCGGACGTTTCGCTTACGCGTTTCACAATTTCTCAGTCGATGCGTATCTAAATCTTGGCGGAGATTTTCGCCTGTGCGTTTTTTCGCGCCGGCGGACATCTCTGAACAGGGGCCAACGAAAG